CCAGTTGTCAAAACCCCGATGAGATCTCTTTTTTTGGAAAGAGGAGAAAAAAACCTTTGCTTTCCTTTCTGAAATTCTTGAAGGAACAAGCGCTGGGGATTCCCAGAGGGACAGAACTCACAGCATCAATGGTTCCATAGCAGAGAAAGCTCTAGATCTCAGTAGATTGATGCCAAAGACTCTACAAACATCTTGGCTTTGTAAGAAGTCTCATTGCAGCACAAGGAGGATGATTTTTCAAGAAGAGAAAGTCACAGCATTGCAAAGGGAAGAATTGGCCCTTTATTCTCATCCCTACCAACAACACCCCATTCCCCCGCCCAGTTATAATTATGTTTTTCCAAAGCCTCTAGAACAGAGGGTCCCAACCTTGGGTTCCCAGAAGCCTTCACTACCAGCTGTGGTGGCCATGATTTCTAGAAGACTCAAGGTTGAGAACCACTGCTGTAGAAGGAGAAGGCGACAAGTAGAGACTACAAGAAACCAGTGATTCGAGATAAGAGACTTTCAGAGGAGAAAACCTTTTAGCTCTCGAGCAGAGGTAGAGATTTTACATGCCAGAGGGAAATAAGGCAGAGGGAAGAGCCAAGAGGCCAGACAGGAAACACATGCACACACCATTCTTGTAAGCGACATTAGGCTTGCGGGCCAGAGCCTCTGAATCCTTGCCCCCATGTGAAAATCTACAGAGATTCATATGAAGAAAGAAATCCCAAGGAATTCTCTTGGATGTCTGACTTCCCTCCCCAAACACACTTACCGTATTTTTCCATGTATAATACTATACTTTTGTCTAAAATCTTTAGACTAAAAATTGAGGGTCGTCTTATACACTGAAGTAAGCTGAGGAGAGAACAAAAACAAGTGGAGGGGAAAGCAGGGATCAAAGCGATCCTGCAATCCTGCAGCACTTTGATCCCTTTCCCCTTACACTTGCTAAGCCCCACTTAGATTTCTTAATTTTGGATTAGAAAAAAGGGGGCGTCTTATTACACGGAAAAAGTACGGTACATCTTGTCATCAGTTCATCCTGCAGTGAGCATTTTAACCTTGCTACGAATCTTTGGCCCATTGCCTTTCACAAAAATCTGAAACCCATCATCTCAACTCAAATATATTTTGCCATATCTGAGCACTTAAGCAAGGATGAAGTCTCAAGTAGCGGGACTCGCTGTTAAGTCGGACTTATATTGTGTCAGTGACTCAACTCAGTTTCCACCCCCCCCCCCCCCCCCCTCACCGCCTCT